TTTTTTTTTTTTTTTTTTTTTAAAGCCCTATTCTATTACTTCTCTCCAGTTTTGAAAGGTAAAGACTTTCTTGTTTTCTTTTTCAGACCATTGAACCCGAAAATGATTTCTCCATCCCTCGGCCCAAGGCCCGGACAAGCCCATACCATGACTATACTGGTGGGAAAGGCCCCATGTAGCAGCTCCACAGGGAGCAAAGAGACAGAGTGCTCATCAGCAGAGCCACGGGGAGTGGGCCGCATGGTGGCAAATGAGTCAATCCTGCAGAAGAGACAGTGTCAACCCACACTGGCAAAAAGGGAGAGGGGTCCTCTTTTCCCCACACAGGCACCCTTGTAGCCCCCTCTCATTCCTCAAACAACTTTCAGACACCACTCTGGCCATCCTGTCCCCGCTCGCTTCGTTTCTCCGTGGGATGGAGCTCACCCCTTCTGACAAAAGAACATGATTGGAAGAGCCTGTCCTGGCCTATTTTCAGCAGGAATGCTGCAGGGCTCGAGCAGCAGGAAAGATCATCAGCTGGGTCTGCGACCGGCTCTGCCCCAACCCAGGGTTCCCTCTGATCAGCTTGTAGGGATGCCTGCACCCCACATCTGATAGGAGAAGAGGCAGGAGCAGATTCATCAGCCCTACACATCCCCACTCCTGCCCACCCATGGACACATCTCAGGTATTACCAAGGACATCTTAATCTATCCACCATTATGTTTGTGCCCTCTTCCAGCCCTGCCTGGCTCTCCTACAGAGATCAGTGGAGAAGAGGCAGAGAGAGAGAGAGATGGAGAAAGAGTATCCCTTTTTTCTTCTCCATGTTCACTTTCAACCCCTTCCTCATCATGTAGAGACCACAGTGGAGAGGGGGAAGAAAATTTAGAGACATAAAAACATCTGCACCTATTTACCCTGACACATTTTCTGATTTGTGCTCTAGCATCAGCCTCCCTCCTAGCTCTGCCTCCTCACCACACACCCCAGCTGAGTTCCCCAGGCTGCCTGCCCAACCCCGCAAACCCTCCCTGCCCAACCCCTGCCATCCCAGGCTGTGCATCCCTGCAGACAAAACCTCTTCCATGCAACTGCTTGCAATACCCGGGTGGGATTTGATCCTGTGCACCTTGGGAGCTCTGCCTCCTTCCGACTGCATCTGTGGCATTAACACGAACATTTCCCAAGCAGCCAGGTTACGGAGGGTGGACACCCTTCTTCCCAGGAATGAGCGAGCGTGAGTGTGTGCGTGCGTGTGTGTGCGTGTGTGTGTGTGTGTGTGGACTGCACCCTGGCGATGAGCAAGGAGTCTGCAGAGTTGAATCATTCTGTAGCCTGCTTTGCATTTGGTAAATAGCTTTCCACGATATTTCATATATAAATGCACAGAGCTCTCCAAGTGGGTTTGTATGATACACTGGTGTCTGACACAGCTGTATATTTATTTAGTACTTTTTATGTGGAATATTTAATTAATAAAAACCCGGACAGCCTGACTGTGAGAGACTGGTGTTCTTCTTTGGGAATGTGGTTCCTCTAATGGCTGGTGGGGTGACAGCAGCAGCTCTTCATGGGTTGGAGTGGGCCATCTGGGAGATTGCAACCCGGGGGGGAGTGGCAAAGAAACGCTGTCTTCTTCAAAGCTGTCACTGTGGACCAGAGATCAGCTGCTTGAGAGTGCAGAAGAGGGTTAGGAGCTTCTCCTTTCTACTTTTCTTGAATAAGGAAAGCTTTTCAATGTTAGAAGTGCTTAATAAATGAAGAAATATAAACCCAAGCCACAGCAAGCAAATGCAGGAGGAAGGGTGTGATCTTTTCATCACTGCATGTGTCTGTGTCTGCTGCATCTATATTCCTGTATTTATTCACTTGTGTCTTGCTGGGTACTTGCATGATCAAAAATAGGAAAGGAGTTTGTAAGTATTCAATTCACGTTGTAAAAATACGTCTTTCTGATGTTCCAAACACGTGTAATAATTTTATTTGAAAGTAGAAACAGTAACAAAGCAAAATAATGGTGATGATGATGATGAAGATGATGGTAATTTTAAGCTTCCTGATGGTATGAGGCTGTAATCTCCCATTTTAGAGGCTTCCTCACCCATGAGTTTACACATGGTGTGTTATGCTACCACACATCCATATGCTTCTGGCAAGCAAACCCCCTTCCTTAGGCACGGTGCTGTCTAGAGTATGCCAGGCTGGGCCTTCCCCACTCTGCCTACCAGCATGGAAGGACAACACAGGGACATTTGGGTCTTCTGAATCCCCTGGCATGAGAGACTCCTCCTAGGCATTGGTTGGAAATGCATCACAGGTGCCTTTTTCTAGTAAACTGGAGGTGCAAATAATGCTTAACCTCCCCTCCTCCTCTCCCCTCCACCTACACTGTTCCACAGGTGTAACACAGAGAATGGGAGAGAAGTCTCAAGAATACTAATGTAACACTGGGGAGCAGATTGGGAAGGGGGTATGTGAAGCCATGATGCAAGTCGTTGACTTGCAGACTGAAGGTAAGAAGGAAGTGCCTGAACAATACCAAACTTTCAAGAAATTAGGTTTTCAAGCAGATACAGTGCCATTGAAGGCTTAAAGGTAGCTAGAGTATGTCCCAGGAGAGTCAAAAATGTGTGGATTCCTACTTCAGTGGAGTCTGGTGGAGCAAAGGAGCAGGCTAACAGGAGAAAAAAGAGGGAAGTATGCTCTTACCGTGCGTGTTTTCCACGTCCCAGACACTTATAACTCTTTCACTGACTGCCACAGACCAGAAAGTATCTCCCAAATGACCTTGGCCCCAGAGGCAGCAGAACAAGGAGGGATGAGGGATACCACATGCACTCCCATTGATTCAGGACACTGCGACTTTCTTGATTACTTGGTTGCTACTGTGCATGCTGCTTGGCAGAGAGCGAAAATCTCCTTCTATGGATTTGCAGTGCCTTTTAGAGTTATGTTTCTAAGCCTCTGTAATGACACAAATACTAATCTGCCAGGAGTTATTTTGCACTTGTTCAATATTAAGACGGCTTTGGGTGAGGGCTGATTTAAATGCCAAATCAAATACAAATTTATGTGTAACTTGGCACTGGCGAGAAAGGGGTGGTGCGGGTTTCTTACACCTCAGGAGAGACTTTTGGGAAAGCAGCAGTTTCCTCTTACCTTAAAACCGATCTTAAACCAACCCAGTCACCCTCTTAGTCACACGCACAGACATTCCAGGGACATCCTAAAATGGTGGGGGCAGACAGGAAAGATTTCACAGAAAAAAAAAGGAGTAGAAGAGGCAGGAAGGTTGCCTGATTCTTGTGCTGTTTTTTCTTAAAATCTGCCCACAGGAAGGGCAGTAAATCCAGTAAGGCTCATCCCTACCCTCTCTCCTGCAAAGGACTCCCTTGGTGATGGGGCTGCAGGTCCGCTCCCTTCAGGGCCTCTGGTTTCTGGTCTGTCCTTTCCCTGTTCCAGGAGACCAGAGCAGCAGAAATGTACACACTGGAGAAGGGTTGGCATGGAGCACACCTGGATTGTGAAAGCAGCCAGCGTTATCAGAAGGCGGGATAAACTCTGCTGAACTTCAGGTCAGGAATGTCATGGGAAAAGAGCAAAGAAGAGCAGAGGTTCCGCTTGGAGCCAGGACCTTCAGGGTCACCATGCCACGAGCTTGCCAGGGCTGTAGCACTCCATGTGCCCTGCCAGGCGTGGGCACAGAGGGTGCAGTTAACTCTTGGGGCTCAGACCCAGGCCAGTAGTGCCAGGGCCTGGGACAAGGAAGGACTTTGCTACATTCACCTCCCAAATGCTCCCTGGCTTGCCAAAAAAGCTCCCCTTGTGGCAGTTGATGTTGGCACCACCCTCCACAAACCCTCCACAAACAAGGGGTTCATCCTTTCCCCACAAGTCCTGTAGCCCTTGCTGTGGTACAGGGGTGGTGAATGACTCCCCCAGCTGGGGCAGGAGATGCTGGGGACTGGTTGTAGGTAGGGAGGAGCACGCTGCCAGACAGTGGGGCTGCGGTTGGGTTGCATCTTCCTTCAGGTCCTGGCAGCAGAAGTTTTGGAGAGTATGCACAGCTCCCACATCTGCCAGGCTGGGACTCAGAAAGCACATGTTGGTCTCCTGAGGTAGCAGGAGGCAGCTGCATAGGATGGAGAGCCCATGACACCTTGTAAACCCCTTGTAAGTCTGGGGCACCCCTTGCACCCCCCAGCCTTTTCTGAAGCAAGTGCTGAAAAGCTGCATCCCCCTGGCTTCCTCATTTGACTCATGGGTCGTTGGCAGCCACGTCTGCCTCCTTCCCTCTGCTGCCAACTGTCCCTTCCCTGTTTCAGTATTCAACACACAGAAGCATCAAATGGTGACTCAGCCTGTGCCCAAGTAACCAGGGCTGGTAGGGAGGCTGGCACAGCCTTGTGCACCCACTCTCTGCAGGCTCAGAGGGCCAGGGGATCACTTTAATCAGATCTGCTCCCCGAGGGACAGAATCACAGGCCCATGTCTCAGATGTGGCAACTGTTGGTCCAAGTGTGCATGGTGCCCCTTTGCCAAGGAGACTATCCCCAGAGCAGCGCTGACAGTACAGATGGTTTGTTCAGTCTCCAAGGACAGCAGTCACCTTCTCCCATACAATCCCTGCACTGCAGGTTTCGGTGTATCTCATCACACTGGACCAGAAAGAGACAGCTGAAGAGCAGAAGCAACTCACATTTTCCTGGCTCTGCTAGAGGCAAGGTGAACAGCTGGAAGCAGTCTCCTTCACCAACCCCAAGTATTGCTCTACAACCTGTGAGCAGCACCTGGAGGGGACCAACACCCAGAGGAGCATCAACCCGCCCTACACTTCCACCAGGCTAGGTAGGTTGCTTAGCTTACACTGTTCTCCTCGACACACTCACCAGGGAGAAACTGGCTTTGCAGTGTCTTAAAGAACAAACTTGAGATCTAAAAGCTGCCAGAGTGTAGGTCACGTGTGGGTGTTGTGGTTTAAACCCAGCTGGCAACTAGGACCACACAGCCATTCACTCACTCCTCCCTCCAGTAGGGTAGGGAGAAGAGGGAGAAAAGGAAGGGAAAAAAACTATCGTGGGTTGAGATAAAGACAGTTTAATAGAACAGTAATGGAAAAGAAAAATAGTAATAGTAATACTACTACTACTAATAATAATAATGGTAAGAAAATATACAAAATAAAGTGATGTAACACAACTTGATGACTGGTTGCAGATCCCTGCCCGCCCCGTCAATCCCCCTGTATATTACTGAGCATGACATCAGTGGTATGGAATATGCCTTTGGCCAGCTTGTCCTGTTTATGATCCCTCTCAGCCTCTATGGGAAGCTGAAAAATTCTTGACTTAATATAAACATTATCTATCAGCAACTAAAACAATATGTGCTATCAACATTATTCTCATACTAAATCCAAAACACAGCAGTTACTAGGAAGAAAAGTACCACTATCCCAGCTAAAACCAGGACAGTGAACAACACGTAAGGTGCCTCTTGCTTTATTCTCCCCAAGCTCCCTTCAAAGCATAAGCTCCCACACATGCAGGGAGCTGCTGGTTCTGAGAAGCCACGGGGTTCCTCCTCATTTCCAGCTCTTTCCTACATTTTAGTAGGTTTAGGGGAATCAGTCACACAAAGTTTTCAGTCAGATGGGAATTCTGGAGAGCTCCCTGAACAGGACTCACCTCAGAACGAGACTGGGTTATCAGAGCTTTGTCCAGGTAAGCTTTGAATGTCTCCAAAGGTGGAGATCCCACATCTTCTTGGGACTGTTGTGCTGGTGTCTGATCGCTCTTGTTGGGATTTTTTTTTTTAAACTTATGTCTAATCAGAATTTCTCTTGTTGCAATTTGTTTGTCACTCCTTATCCTTTCACTGTGCACCTCTAAAAATGTCTGGTCCCACCTTCTGTATAGCATCCCTTAGATTCCCCCTTAGCCTTTCTTCTCATGGCTGAGCAGGTCCCTCAGTCTCTCCTACTGACACGCTCCAAGCAGACCTCAGCTGTCTCAGTGGCCTGCCCTGCTGGACTTGTTCCACTTGATCAAGCTCTGTTGCAGTGGGAGACCCAAACTAGTCACAGTACTCCAGATACAGCCCCACAAGCGCTAAATAAAGAGGAATAACCACTTCCCTCACCTTGCTGACTTCACCCTTACTCATGCAGCCTGGTATGTGGTTGGTGTACACTGCCATGAGCATGCACCGCTGGACAATGCCTTCTTCAGGTTCATTTTCCCCAGACCAGTTGCTTTCTTTGCCCCGGGGGAGCTTGTGTGGTTTCAAATAGAAAGGACTGAACAGTTCTGAGGTTCCGTCTCTAAGGCAGGTGGTTTCTGGCAGGAGCTCAGGCCACTCACGAGCTTCCTTTCCCAGCAGGGAGCCCTGAGGAAGGAACTCCAAGGCTCCATCAGCACTTGCCTGCTTCCTGGGGGCTCTGCATGAAATCTGAAGGTGCCCCTCTTGGGAGCAAGCCCAGCCCTTAGGTACCAGC